GAGCAAAAAACTATACAAAGAACTTGAAAGCATAAGGGTTCCTAGCTGAATTTTCCCCGTGTTTGCCAATGCTGTGGGAATGAAGCAAGTCTAAGCCGCACTACTTGCACAGCCGTCTGTAATGAGCATCGCACTACCAGTCAGTGCTATACTTCTCATTAAAAAGTAAAAATAAATTTTTTTCAATGCGCATCAGATCTGCATGTCACATTACAAAGGGGGATGGGCCTCACATGGGAAGTGCAGCTAGTGCTTACAATAATGTCGGCACAGTGTAAATATGGGAATTACCAATACCCACAAGTCGACATACACTTTCGAAGTCATTCAAGACTGAATGATATTCCAGTGTGTGCTCTTACAGCAGTCATTTAAAGATTGCAGAAGAGACCAACAGTCTACAATGAGCCAACGAGTAGTGGCAACAATGATGACAACACCTGCAGTATGTCCAAGGCTGAACAACTTGCGCGAATTTACTGGCTGCAAAGAGCTAATCACATATACTGACCACCTTGTGCACGAACAGGAGGCTTCCCAGTACAGGTGCTACAGGCAGTTTGCTTGCTCCATTTTACTTTTCAATCACAGCCACACGTTGATGCTGTGCCGTTTGTTTTTCCCACCACATACAATACATGGACTAACAAGATGCAAAGTTGATAGATGAAGTGGGAGTGGATTTATTTACTTAAAGACAGAACAATAAACTAATAAAATGTCCTTCAAAGCAAAATGCCTGTTGGCATACAGTAAAAGTAACAATTTTGAATGCCTGTATGTTGCTTACAAGATGTAAGCAAAAGCTAACGCATCAAACAGGATCACAATTCTCTTGCAAGAAGTGGATCACAATTCGTGTACAAGAGCGATATTTAAGTGTATGGCACAACAAGCAATACGAAAAAAAGAGGTGTGCAACGAAGTGCAACCAAGTTTCAGAGGCATAGACTTATAGGCTTCTTCCCACATGCTTAATGCCCATTTTATCTCATGACATGTGGCCATTATGCCTCCAACCTGTCTTGCATTCAGCAAGTTTCATCGACATAAACACTGCCTAGCACTATGTTTCCTTGGCACATAACACACACTGACACACAGACACATACACAGACACTGCGATACCAAAGATGTGGGTAGTATGTACTGCTAGCTTGGCACACAGAAGCTGTACAAGGCTGACTTTGACATTACATGTGAACAACCCTCACTGTTTTGCGTCCTATACGTTACGCTGTCACGAGGTACGATATTAATGACGCGGGACAAGGGCTGAAGAGCACACAGCCCGTTGTCTCACGGAAGGAAGAACGAGCTCGTTGTAACATTGGCTGCAAGCAAGCCCATCGATTAACATATACAATAAAGGCAGAAGTCGCATTGAAGCAAAGCGCAGAACGAGACCTGCAACTTTCCTCGCTAAGCATTTCTCACTACAATACTTTGCCAATGACGTCGAAGTGTTCTGCTTGATCTCAAATTGCAAGCAGAGGAAATGTGTTCAGCCATAGCGCTTATGAATCAAATATAAGCAGAGCTAAACATGTCAGGTCAAGTCATTCTATAAGACAAGTAAGGTCGACGAAAAGTTTTCACTCATCCAATCGCGGCTGGTGCGACAAGCCAACTACACAACTGTGCTTTGGTCGAACCTGTCGACAACAGTTAGTATTTTGCAAGAACTCTTAATTGATATTCCAATGGATCCTCGCAACAGTACATGTCCCCCGAAATTAACAGAGCTGAATACTCGAGAAAGTTGAAGATGCTTGGCCAAGAATGTCATCAGGACTAGCTACTGCCTCTGCAGACACACCCCACAGAGACTATACAAACTCAACAACAAATCACAAGCACACATACAGTGAAGTAGCCACTATTTTGCTGAACAGACTTTTTACAAAAGCAACCACTCGCAGCTGACAGGAGGTGCAAGATATCCCAAGCAAAATGCAAAAGACTGCAAAAATTTTCCTACAGATATGATCCTGGCATATCAATGCCTCTGGACTTTGCAGTGCTCATTTAGAGCCATAAAATGGTTACTATATCATGCTTCCTTCAATTTAAGCTTCAACTATACTCCACCTCAGTACAGTTACCTACAGAGTCACCGTTTTTTGCAGTACTGTATGAGCTGTACATTTATTAGCAGATAGGTCGAGCAAAAGTTCCTAAATGTGAGCTCATACATGTGTCGTCAGCTCAGTGTTTTGACGAAACATGCTCTCCAGGTGGGTTCATGCAATCAATTTTCTTTTGTAGCCATACGCCGTGGTAACACTATTGTGACAGCAGCACTTTCTTTTATCCGTGTTTGTTCTCAGATGGCCTCTTGGAGCCCCTTAGCAAACAATAGGGGAAAACACCCCTCCAGATATGTTCAGCCACTGTACATCATCTGCTAGGCATCTAGTTTATATTTGCCAACAACATCATCATGTGGTCGACTAAACTGAAGTAGATTACCAATAAGCTGAACATGGAAGCCATTAATGTGTTCCTCATCATCAAGGCGTTGGAAGTGTTACTAGTATGGCACAAGACATGAAGTCCAAATAAATACCCCTTCCTTGCTCATCAGTGTCACAACAAACAGGTGATCTCAATCAATAAAATACCTAATGTTCACAAAAATGATTTGTGGCAATTTATGTCCCAAAACCACAGTATGTTTACATCCCAAAACATCATGTTTTTGCCTAAGCACAAGATAAAACGAAGCTATTACTGATACCACCATGCGTGTTTTAATGTCATTGTTGACTGAAATTATGACACAAGGTGAATTTAGGGTCAAGTGGGCTGTGATAGCCAATCTAGGCTGAATGGGCACCACGTAGATACGCAATCACTGCTTTGTTAAAGCACATTAATAGGCTTGTGTTAATAATAGAATGCTTCGAATATTTGAACGAATAGTAGAGTATTCGAATTCACTTCGACTCGAATTTAAATTATTAAAAACTTCGAAGTGTTCGCAATGAAGGAATAGGCATATATTAGTCTGTATATAACCACCTGTAAAGTTATTTTTACTGCAGTGTAGAAGAGCTAAACAGTAAGAGCACCTTTCAAGAAAAACTCGCACTGCCATGAAGCCCCAGTTCAAAGGGGCCCTGCAACACTTTTTGAGCATGGGCAGAAAACGCTGCCAATCGGTAGTCGAGTCTCGAGAACACTGCAAGCCAAATATTATAGCATAGCACGCAGGCTGTAATTCACAATTAATTCTCAAACTTAGCTAAAAATTTATCTTTTTTCTCAGCAAATGATGTCACAAGATCAAGAATCACTCGTAACAGCCATTGTATCCGCCATTGGCTGATTTGAGCATGGTGCGCCTTGGTCGTTACTGTGGCCACCATGGGAGGCCATGACCTTTCCACACGTATGTATGCAATCGCACTAAAAAGCCACATATTAAAAAAAGAAGAAAAAAGTGCTCAAGGTCACAAGGCACATGTGAAGTATTTTCTTCCTGCCATCCCTCCCTGCTTAGCTTCCAGCATTTTAGTCAGGACCAGAAGAGAGGATGCCATTACAGCGTGCAACAAACCTTTGCAAATCTGCTCGTACTGAACGGCTCTTAAAGATTTTTACGGTGGTGAATTCGTGAGGCAATAAGCTTGTTTAGTGAATCTAATCTATGGTTACTTGAGAAAGTGTTGCAGGGCCCCTTTAAATGAACATATACATATCTGATCCATTCATCATTCTTTACGGTTTAAAAGCTTATAATGCCAGCTTATATATTATATAAAAATATAATAAATTTTGGAATATTACGTATCTATTACGGTAAGATGCAAGTTATCACTTGCATCTTACCGATAGTCAAATCCTGCGACTACTCAAATTGTTTTGACTTCCTTTTAATGAAAAAAAAAAGGGCATTTGCATAGAGGCTTCATTTCAATTCAAAATCTATTGAGCAGGTAAGTTAGGTCATAATAAATATGGCCATTTTTTATATGTCATATACACTATTCGAATTTAACGAAAAATTATTCGTTCGAAATCACTATTCGATTCGAACTTGCTTCGAACCTAAAATTGGCTATTCGCACAAGCCTACACCTTAGCATATCACTGCAATGTATCAGTGTCATGCCCCAAGCAAAGAAAGAAGTCTATGGCGTTGCCAACAAATGTACACTGAAGCGCGGATCCGTGTTCTGATGTGCACAAATACTACCCGTGTACACCTCCCAGCTTAGGCAGTGCTGTAATTAACTTGAGAGATAGAGCAGCTGCCTCCACTTCATGTGCAGCTGAGTAAACGATACCAATGGTGGAATTATGGGCTGCTTGCAACGGGTCGCTGTTCAGCATGCTGTAGGTTGCATGTGTCTCCAGTTACAAGCCCACATGCCATCGTCCTTCGGCCATCCCAGTTGGGAAGTTTTCCATGCTTCTCCTTCAACAGGACCCTCAACCCGAACTGCTCCCAGATGGCTGTAGGGTGCTTTGAATCATAGTTAGGGTTTCATCTACAAGTGCCCCTTTAGTTCCATGCATGGAAGACCAAAAAAAAATTGAGCACCTGGTTTGTTGCAAATGAGAGTTTCTGAACTGGCAGGGCCAAAGAGCTACGATGTTTGTGGCCTTGTAGCATTATGGAAGAGTATGTACAGACAGTTAATTATGACTGAAGGACGGGCACATTAGCCCAGGAACAGCGGAGACGAAGGCGTGACACACACAAATACAAGATCCTCGGCCAACTAGACGTGAACTGAGGCTGCGACGTGGCACGCTCGAAGTGTTAGGACGTGTGCACGAAATGTAAAACACACACGCACAGGTTGAAGACCGCCACTGACAGTTCGTCCGTCGAAAAGGTGTTAGTGGTTGGAAGAGGAGGGGAAAGGCAGCGATTCAGGGAGGAGTAAGATGAGCTAGCATCATCATCGTCAGCAGGAGCAGCAGCGTACGTGACAGAGCCCGCCACCGTTATAACGCCACGAGCAGGACCAAGAGGGACGGCCACAAACCTAGGCAGGGCCTGCCAGCGCCACAGCCGTGCGCTGCCGCGCCACTTCCTTCGATGGGCTTGCTGCTGGACACGCCGGTGCCACGGGCTGGGTTCTCCCGAGTCCCGTGCACCGACAGTCCCGGCTGCGGACTCTCCACTGAAAGACAATGGGCCCCTGAGCATGCGCCCTTCTGCAGTCGAGCATGACCGAGCAGGATTGAGCGCACATAACCTGGGACAGTGGCCATAGTCTCTGCTGATCACTTTCAGTGGATGGTGCACGGTGCATTTGATGCAACTAGATCAGTATGTAGCACTGAAGTGATAGACGCACCAATTATCCAGTAGAAAATTATGCTTTTTTTCGAAGGTGGGGGGTGGGGGGGTGAGTGAGGTTTTTCGTTTTTTAAATGTGCTTTCTTTTCTTCCTTTTTCATATTTATTTCCTTAGCCTGCTAAGCACACCATCAAGCATGCCCCACAAGCAACATACCCTAAGTGATCAGTTGAGAGTACAGCTGTTGGCAATTCTGACAAACAGTGGCCACTCTCCTTTCACAGGATACTCCTTTCCAAAGTAGAATCTTCATTAAAGCTTGGAAGCAACGGTGGTTGATTGTGCAGCAGCTGTTCAGAATACATTATTGCTCATTCTTGCCACACTAAATCACTCAGACTTGCAAACTGTCCACTACTTCGTCCTTGCAAACATCCCACTTCTTCTTAGACCATAAAGCCATTATATTTAAGGGGGAACGGGAGCGACGTATAGCTACCACCTATGAATTAAAGAATTTCTTGTACAAATATATACAGTATTTGTATATATAACCCTCTAACGCTGCACCCCACTGATCACCATTCACTCCGTGGATATGCTGTCATTTTTTTTGTATAATGGTTGCCAATTGCTACATAAACAGGACCAATCACAATCTACAAAAAGAAAGCGTATAGTTCTATAGCTCCATAGTGAAAACTTTCACACGAATTTCCAACAATGGTGTCACATTAGGCTAGAAAAGTCATATCTGCAAGCTTCACTGAGCTAAGGAAACTAAAGTCAAGACAACATAAACCCTCACAGACGGTAAAAATGCATGATGAGAATGAATGGGCACATACTGTTGATAAGCAACAACAACAAAAAAAAAAAATGGTGACAAAATAATTTTTGGAGAGAAGCATTTCCACATATACTCTACTTGCAAACTAAGAAACGCTTTTCAATAAGCACTGCCACTTTATGTAAGCACACGCACACAACATATGCTTCCTGGCTCAACAAAAAGAATACAGCATATTGCAACACACAAGCATCATATCTCTCCATACACCGAAAGTGCAGCAGTGTTAGTTACAAAGCCAAAAAGTGGGAGGCAAAAAAAAGCATCACAAGAAGCACCAGTATGCACAAAGGATTTCTTGCATGCACCTTGAACAGTGTCGCAGCGGCCGACACGCAAGGCAACATGCGCACCAGTCAAATGCTTACGTTCGATGAATTCGCTTTTTGCCTATGCAGACAAATAAATGACCACAGCACAGAAGGAAGATATCAGACCACACAGTCATGTGAAAACTAACAAGCTTATGAGCACGTAAAAAACCTAGTTAACTCGAACGAGTAATCAGTGCAATGAGCATACATGCATGGTTTATGACGGCATGCGTTCATACAGATCAGAGGGAAAAGATGTGAAAGAACAATGCCGAGCTAAACTAAGCAATAACAAGCTTGACACACACACACACAGACTCCGTAGAAACCACAAACATATTCCATGAAAAACCCAAAAAGAAAAACAGCACACACCAAAGAAAACCTAGAGGTTAGAAAATTGAGGTCAAACAAAAGATGCACACAAAGTGCTGGAACGTGGTAACTATAAATGATAAACAATAGTGCTGCTGCTAAATCCACGCTACAACAGTCAACTTGCGCGGCAGTTCCTGGTCACAATAGGAGCAAAAAATTTATAAATCACAGTTGGGTGTGGGACCTTAACCAACACAAAATATAGCTGCAAGGCTAAAGAATAAAAAAAAGTTGTGGCTCAACTTTAACAAAAAAGTGAATGCTTAATGAGCCCTAACTTACGAGACATACTTCTGGCAAAAAGCCACAGCCAACAAGACAATATAAGCGATAACAAGTTGTGTATATGCTAACACCTGCAGGCAAAAAATTTGTGCGCACTGTCGTTGAGTTGACATGTATACACTCATGTTAGATGACATGTAACATAAGGGAAATGAGAATGAATTCATGAGCCCAAGCCATGACAAGTTTTTCTTTTGTAAAATGTGTAGAATGTGTCAAGATTTCGTGCACATAAATGGTGTCACATTCTGATGTCAATTCCCACAAGACAACCCCAATAGCAGCAGCGCTCATATCTGGCTAAATAAATTGAAGCGGAGGAGATTGCTGGTGCTAGTGCCAAGTGAAATGATGGCTGCTAACTGGCATATCTATACCATTCTCCCAAAACATCCCACCAGACAAGAAAGAAATATGCTAGAATTTGCTAAATACACCCACAATCTGCTGAGAGGAGCAATTTTTTTTTTTACAAGTAAACTGAACAGTGAATAATGTAAGTATGTGCCTTAGACTTCCACACATCATTATTCAAAAAAAAAGTAATATTGAAAATAAATGCCTAAGGTGCACAATCTTGCTTACGGCAGCCCTTTCACACATAAATTAAAAGGTGCTAAAAAACTGCTGAAATTTCCCTGCAAAAAAATAAAAGTGGCAGAAAAAGTGACATAAACCAAGCACTTTCGAGCATACTTTTCCATTCCATGATAATAGCATTAGCCTGTGATAATAGGCATTATTCCTACAACTCAAAATATTTTGAACACCAGTTAACAAGTGCAGCATTAGCGGTCCTTGAGGAAATCGATATTGGAATGTGAGCCCAAGTGCACATGCTATTAATTCTTAGCAGCTTTTGTAGCTTGAGGCTATGACGAAGGGTGTTTGTACGATTTGAGTTTTTATTAATTTATTTATTTTTCATAGATCCTAACCATGCAGTTACAGCGTGCATAGCGAGAAGGCTGGGAATCTGGGGGTTCCAACAGGAGCCTGCAGTATACTGCTAAATCGTCAGTCGCAATACATGGCTGTTTGACACAAGTAGGAGCTGTAATAGTAAGCCCCAGTCACAGCTGCTTTGTACCTGAATAGGTATATTAACAGTGTAAGTACTAAGGCAAGAAAACAACAATAGTCGAGGTAAGTAGTACTGCCATCCTGATCCAGGAAACGATTTCTAAGGGGTCTTAAAGGTGTCTTACTGCTGTCAGGTATCAAATTCCTGGCGTCACTTGACACAACAAATGGATAGGCTATCGCACACCATAATCCTGCCTTATGTCCAGTGGCCTCCTTTTTTAGCTACTGGTTGTAAAACAAGATTGCATGTCACAGCAGAGTTCACTTTAAGACAACAATATGACAGTAGACAAAAGCAACATGAAGGCAGCAGCTGCATACAAAACAAAACTAAAAAAACAAAACAATAAACAAGTAAAGATAATGAACACAGAGGCAGTATCTACTCTTGCCTCGTCGTTCAAGATGCCTCAAGCAATCTGAATGTAGTAGGTGGGCTGGGGCCGGAACGGTGCGAAGGCATTCTGAAGGACATGCACTATCTGCCGGACAAACGTGATGGGCTCACCTGGTCGGCGTGAGTCAGAATGAATGAAGTTGTCGAGTGACTCGTGATCACTGGGCGGCCGGCCTAACGAAGGTGGAGGCTTCATGGGCCTGTACACGGGGAATGCCTTGGCAGGTGGCGAGATGGGCACAGGTGGTGGAGATGGCCGAAGCGTCGGCGGTGTCTTGGTCGTGGTCTTTCGAGTCTGAGGAGCCGCGGGTGTAGGAGGTGCCTCCTTTTCGTTCGTCTCATGCGGCCCACTGGGGACGTCGCCGTACTGCGGCGGCGGGCGTGCACCGGCCCCCGCCGACCACACGTCAGGGTCCTCGGATGTGCCGTACAAGATCAAGGACCACTCCTTCAAGGTGGCTTTTCCTGCGGGCACACCAGAAAAAAAGGATCCTTGAAGCCGTACAAATCGCATACACCGTGGTGTGTGCGATCTGCTTGCCGTTGCACAGTAATCTGTTAAGGGAAGCCTCGTAACCCACTTCACAACTATGGCTAAACGTGTGCTAGAGCATCGTGACTGATCATAAATGCTGCACAAATTTTGCATGGCCAATGTGGTAGCTTCACAACTAAGGCGTGGTGCTGCTAAGCTTGAGGTGGCAGGTTTATTTTCCAGCTATGACAGCCATATTTTGGTCGGGCAGACATGCAAGAACACCCCTGCACTTAAGGAGCATGTTAAGGAACTCCCAGGTGGTTAAAATCTGCTCTTCCCAAGATGGTGTGCCTTATGATAATATTAACACAATAGCGTTAAAGAGCTCATGTCGCAGAAATTGCAGTGTTGGTGTTGATGTCGATGGTTGTCAGCAAAAAATAAAAATCAGAGATACAAATAAAGAAATAATAAAAAAAATATTCGGTTAGAGTGGGAATTGAACATAGGAATGTTGCTCAGGAGCTGCACCTGGGCTGGAAATTGTTTAGGAAAAAAAGAACAAAACGACCCTATATGAATGTTGCATAGTGTGAGGAGCGTTCTTAACATAAGCAAAGACCCGCCGTTTATACCAACCACTTGTTTAAAGTTCAAAGTGCATGAACATAATTAATCATCATTACCAGCAACAACATTAAGGCGTGAAACTGCACAGAAGCTAGTAGTACTGCCTTATGCATGCGCAGTGGGTACTTTGTCAATTCGGAAAAGGAAGAATTGTGTCGTAGTGGGCACTCCACAACAGCACTTGCCGTAGGCATTCTCGAATACAGTAGACTCCCACTAAACAGAACCTGAAGATACCAGAAAATTATGTTCCAGTTAATAGAAATATAATTTACTGAGAAATGAACAGAGGTGCAAAATACAAGTTCTAAACAAATATCAGAGACAGTTGTTTCATTTAGGCAGCAATTTCATTTAACATACTTCTGTTAAAGAGTCTATTGTACATTGAAATGAGCAATTTTATTGCACAGATGTTCCTTTCCTTGCAGCATGTTTGACGTGTCCACCAAGGAACTAAGAAAGGCAAGCGAATGAGAAGGCAACATGAACGGGGCTTGATTACGCTATAGCATTCTACTCTTGAAAGCGGAGTTTAAGCGTCCAAGCGTCCTTCTTCCAAGCTTTTGTGGATTTCACGTGAAACTCCGCAATTACATTACATTTTACATTTCCTATTATAGTATGTCCAACACAGTAATACACTTAAGCACTGGATACATATGAATAGAAGCGTGTGCTATAACATGCTCAATCAAAGTAATTGATATAAGCACATACTAAATGCTTATGGCAGCACACTAAAAACTGTACCAGAGTAAGCATGACCCTTTTGGTGTTTGCTTTGGCAAACAATGGTGTTTGAAAACTGAACTAAAATGGCACCGAAGAATGGCACAGATGTGAAAACATTGGCAGAGCAAATAACAAAGATCAGCTATGCGTGGTAGCTAAGAAGGATCATTCCTACAAAACTTCAAGCACAGACTGCAGCCTTCTTAAAATACGTGTAAAACACTTGATCTAGACCCAGGAGTCGCTATGAATGAATAGATTTCTCATGTATGACAATGACACAGAAGCCACTGACGTATTTAACAAGTTCCTGGCAGGGCTGTTTCTTTACAATAAGTTATTTTTTTCTAGACTTTCTTTTTAGAGACTCAATCGATTTCAAACAATGTACAGGTGTTCACTGCGTTAAAAGCTACAGGTAAAATGAGGTGCATGCTCACTAAATAAAGATGTGGCGAGAAAGCGACAGTTTAAGTGAAAGTTACACCTGCAAACTTACAACGAAGTTTTGACTTACTGAAGTTTTCGACTATCCCCACTATCTTGGTGAGCCAAAGCACCACCAAGATACCAACATGTCAAAGCATGGTTTTACATTAACTATGATGAGTGCACCATTTACTTTGACTATACTAGCGAGGGCCCCCATTTAGATAGCTTACCAAAGTATCGTCCATCGTTATGCACTTCAAGCTTCCAACGCCCATTGGGGCTTTCAGCCCCACGTGTGGACACTCATGAAAGGCCAGGCTTGGAAGCCTGACCGAGAATTGTCAAGAGGCCTCTGGGCTAAGAGGGTCGACCTGCAATGGCAGACGTTACACTGTAGCAATTGAATGCACATGTGAGCAAGCAGAGAGGGACAAACCGCTTTCAAGACTCTTGCGTGGTTGTGTCGCAAGAGTCGTACACATGCACTGGAAAAAAAAAAAAAAAAAAAAACCTGAAGTGAGCTGCGCTCACACACCGTCTTTTTTTTTTTTGCAGCACACACAAGACTTAGTTTTAATGAGAAAAAAATATAACTCCTGCTGCGAGGTGCTGCATTGCACTACCAGTGAACAAGAAAGGAAGTAAATGAGCAACTGTGCATGTGTGTATACGTGCAAGTATGTATGAGATAGTGTACGCACAATATGGAAAATTGAAAAAAATATGTTCACGAGAGTATCCTTGAATTTCATTGTCGTTAATGCATGAACAGAGGAACTGCAAAACTGGAAGCTTGAACGCGGTCAGAGTCTTCTATTTTAGTGAATTTAGAGTGCAGGAAGCACGACGGTTGAAGAGAGAAGCAGACCACACGAGCACTCGTGTTGGGGGTTGTATCTGGTCTTTACAGGGTTCTAAATTTATCACGAAATGTCATGTAAACCAGCCCCACCTATCAATTTCATTAGGATAGATGGCAGATGGCACCTTCGACGCACTCCACGAACCCCCCTCTTGTGGCAAACAATCAGTCAGCTGACAAGCTGCTGTGCGAACGACAGATGGGAGAGAAAATGCACACTAGTCAGAAAGGACTGCAATGGGCGTCTGCCTCATCATTGTACCTTATGTAGGTGCGAAATGTTCTCTCAAAAGACAGTTGTTTCATAAACTAATAGAGTTGAACTAACAAGAGTATTCAATGGAAGCCACAAGAACCGAGAGTTCAGGTACCGAGTGTTTCGGCACTATGTCTCTTAGTTGGAGGAAGACCCTGTCTTTATGCAGTGACGGTATACTGCGCGGTTTGATGAGTAGCTGTGTGTATAATATCGAAGGAAAAATACCTAACACCGCAGCATTTTGTTATATAACATGTGGTATTTTGTAAAGGTGTGTGAGCATTTTCAATGTATAAAAGCAATTTGCCTGAAATTGGCGTGAGTGTTGTGTCCATGCGCTGTCGCAGCACTCAATTAAAATTTGTTACTGTCTCTTACCAACAAGGCCAAGCACTGACGTTTGTCGGACATGCATGGTTACGGGTCTTGTGAAAGGACAAAGTGACAACGCTAGTCAAGAAAACGTTTTGAGTGTGCATGCTGTGCTAGAGGCACTGCGTGCTCACTACCTTGTTCCCGCAGGCGAGGTGAGGTAAATGTGCAGGTCACCCCTCCGTGTTGCAGACAACGTGACCTTCGCTTGAACATGCTCCAGAAAGCGGACGTTTTCGCAGTTCACATTCAGTTTTAGCTCGACGTGACTCTTGGGCGATATGTACCTGCAAGAATGTCCCAAAAATAAAAGTGTTAAGCACGAGCAATGCATACACAAGTTAATTTACAGTGGCACTAATAGGTGTACTCACTTGTCCATGGGCTGGGCTCTGACCATGCAAGTTTTCTGCTGTGGTATAGTGGTCCACCTTTTGGCTAAAGCCACCATGGCATCCGCATCCATCAGGCCATATCCAAACGAGTGGCTCACTGCAGCATGTCATATAGTAATGATGAGGCGCTTTCCCTAATGTTTTGCTACTCCAGACTATAAAAGAGCTTCAATCAATTGAGCAATACAGTCGACTCCCGGTAATTCGAAGTCGCTTAATTGGAAGTTTCGGTTAATTAGAAAAGAGCAAGTGGTCCCATCAGTTTTGCATGCAATTGTATAGAAAAAAATGCTCGATAATTCGAAGTTAAAAACCCATAATATTGGTTAATTAGAAGTTTTTTCAATCGACAGTCTCGTCGCGACCGTAATTTAACAGTAAAATGGGGAACTTTTCATATGCCAAAACATCTGCCAGACCGCGCTGGTGTCTTTGCCATCACTACTGTCCGCAGCGCCACAGATCTTGAAGCGGCAATCTTTTTAACGCTGGCGAATCGCATCGGCGGCATCGACTGACTCTTTAGTTGACTTTTGTCGAGACTCGAGTGTGTCACCGCGTCACCCGCGCGCTGGGTTGATTCCACACGTGTTTCCGCGCTTCTGATTTTGAGTGTTGTGGTGGTGATGTACGTTTGATAATTGCAACTCGTGGCCCTTACCGAACGCTAGACCTAGCGACGAAAGTCGAAGTCTTGAAGGAAGTTGACCAGGAAGGCACCGCCAAACAAGACATTGCAAGAAAGTACGGCATTAAGCCTAACACGCTGTCGACTTTCATAAAGAATAAGCGCTCAATATTGGATGCGTTTGAAAGTGAAAAATTCAAGACATTGCGGAAGCGGATGCGCACCGCCGCCTACCCCGAGTTGGAGGAAGCACTGCTGATTTGGATCAGAGAGGCACGAAGCAACATACTTCCTCTCAGTGGTGAAGTCGTCACGGCAAAAGCGTCATCGCTTGCTGAAATGTTGGGCATCAACGACTTCGCTGCTTCGGATGTGTGGCTTATGCGTTTCAAACATCGCCACGACTTGATTTTTAAAAGCGTGTGTGGGGAGAAGGAGTCAGTCGATGAGGAAACGTGCCTGACATGGAAAGCGGGCAAGCTTCGCGAGTACCTCGAAGAATACCAGCCGGCAGACATTTTTAATGCAGACGAGACTGCGCTTTTTTATCGGCTGTTACCGGACAAGACCCTGACATTTAAAGACGACGACTGTTCTGGAGGCAAAAGAAGCAAAGAGAGAGTGTCAGTGCTAGTCGCGGCGAACATGGCTGGCACAGAACGGTGTCGCCTGCTTGTGATCGGGAAGGCTGCCAAGCCTAAGTGCTTTAAAGGCGTGAAGACGCTTCCTGTGGATTATGCCTCGAACAGAAAGGCGTGGATGACATCCGATATATTTAAGGACTGGATCACCAAACTCGACCGCAAGTTCGCGCAATCAAGCTGTAAGGTGTTGTCCCTTGTGGACCAATGTAGTGCCCACATGAACGTACCTGCCTTGAGTGCCATCCGTCTTGTGTACCTGCCTGCAAACACGACGTCCGTGTTGCAGCCCATGGACCAGGGCATAATAAAAAATGTGAAGGTATTGTATAGGCAGCATCTCGTCGAGCGCATGCTTTTGTGCATGGACAACTCGTCGCAATACGAGGTGAGTTTGCTTAGCGCCATCAACATGCTAGCGCGAGCTTGGACCCGCGTGAAAGAAGAAACCATCGCCAATTGTTTCCGGGCCTGTGGTTTCATGGAAAACTCGGGGGATGCTTCTCTTTGTGCGCCAGTAGAAGTGCAAACAAATGATCTCGACGACGGTAGCTTTCGCGCCGCTTTCGGTGACGTCCGTTTTGACGAGTATGTCGCTGTGGACAGCAACGTCGAAACATGCGGTCCACTAACGGACAGCGAAATCGTGCAGATGGTTCGGCCCCATGACTGCATTCCTGAAAATGACGATGATGATGACGACATCGGAAATGAGCCACCACCGAGGGCTGCCGATGTAGCTGCGGGTCTTGCTCTTGCGCAGCGGTTTTTTGTTGGAGAACACAACGCCGAAGAAGCACTTCGACACGTGTATTCCTTACAAAACTTGCTAGCCGCAGCCAGATTCGGCAAGCAGAAGAAGATGACAGACTATTTTTCCTCAAAACTGTCGCACCTTTAAACTAATAAAAGTGCCGTTTTTAGTGCTTTTTGCTTAATTCAAAGTTCGTTTAATTCAAAGTTTTTTGCAGTTCCCATGAACTTCGTATTAACGGGAGTCGACTGTATATCAATCAATCAAATTATCCATCAATCAAATCAATCAGTGTGCTTGTGACAAATGCATTGAGGAAGGAGCCACTGCTCTACAATAATGTGCACTGGGCATGATGTGAAGGACAAACAATTCAAAGAAGTCGACAAGCGCACAGAACCCAGTGTGCGCTATTATATACTACAGTCAAACCCCGCTACACCGAAATTGACGGGGCGTGGAAAAATTTCTTTGAAGTGAAAATTTCATTGTAGTAAAATAGAAAAAACATATCTAAGCTGAGCTAGCAAAACAAAGAAACATTTACTCTCAAAAATTCAAAAAATGTCCATTGCTTCCTATTCTTTTCCTGCAGCGTCACGACGTGATTCTCACCCATGAATAGCGAGGCCATGGTGAAAAGCACACTGAAACAACGCCTAAAAACCACTTTCGTGAACGAACCAATCAGTTGCATTAACACCTTAACACGAGCAGCTGTCCGCCGTCAAAGGTACCCGACAACGCCGAGATGGAGGCTGGGTATCATGGAGCGGCAACTTTTGCATTACTCTGTGCCATTCTTATCATCCATCACTCGTGGCTAGCTGATTTTGTTGATAATGCCAACGAACAGCCACTCTTGTTACCACACTGGCCAAGCGTGAGCATAATGATATGCATCGGAAAAGGCATCATGCCGCGGTTGCACCCAGCAGCTGCGAGAAGGAAACCATGAACTGAGCGACTGAGCTTCAGCTTCGGATCGTCTGTGGCTATAAAGCAAGCCAGTGGCAAAACAAAAGCAGGGCAATCTCGTTGCCATCGCTATCGAGCAATGGCGACGCCCATGCTTGCTGAACAGCGGTGGTATAGTGTACTAGAATATGGGGTACAGCACGGAGGAAGGAAAGGTAGGAGAGGGCAGCCCAGCCGGGGTGCGGCGTGAAAAGTGTGGAGGAAATGACATCATGGCGGCTATATTCACTGGGCACAATGGCGGCGTTGCTATGATTACGTGTTGCGCATTGGAGCTGGTCTAGCAGTGAGCGGCCGCGGCTGGCGGTGGCATGTGTGCCTCCCCAGGTCTCGTGCTGGGCCGTGGCGGACAATATCCGTGCTCTGCGCCACATTATTGTTTACGCAGAGTTCTTCTGGGAGTTACTGTACTCTTAGCAACGTTTACAATTCATTTTGTCTATCACGGGGTTTCAACAGTGCGTAGAACGAGTGCATATCCTATATGTCGTGCGGCGGATGACGCGGATGAAGCAATCAGTGTTCAGCGAAATTGCGTTGGGCATCATGACGAAGCGGAACGACGAAAAAACCTTGCAGGTCAGTGACGGTTGGGCAGTGCTCCTACTTGTGACAACGGACGACGCTGTTGAGCCCAGCAAGACGCAATGAGGACCATGTGCACATACGTAGTTTCATGTGTGTGTACAGTAACAACTTGCATGTGCGTATTAAAACACCTTTTCTCTTCCGCTTCGTATACTCTTCCCAAGCATTGCATGTAATCTCAACGTAACAGCAACCACGTTCAAGCGTCACTTGCACTGTGCTCAAAGTCACCACGGTCGCAGAATGCTGACGCCGGTGAGTTTCACGCCGAACACGGACACAGTGATCGGACGCTACGTCGGTCGCGTGGCGGAATGCAACCGTAGAAGGCGCATGACCGATCGTGTTGTCTGTACAGTTGCTGAATTAATGACGTGAAAACACTCACCGTTGTCAGTGCATCTAGTGCGCATTCTCTTGTACTCGCTTCGTTGTCGGTGAGCTGTTACTCGCTGTTAATACTGGGACGAAATGATTTCGCCGAAGGTGTCGCACTAGCCCAGAGTGTTGAGCTTTGTCCCATTAGTTTCCGATCGTCACACCACGCGCGCTGCGCAGCTCACGTGCTTTCCGAGCCGGAGAGAGAGTCAAGCCTTCTGCTTTACATTCGGATGTAAACAAGAGAGGAGAATTTGCCCAGTCAATAGGGCCGACTTCCAGCTTCATCGTGGCTTCACAACGAGTGACGTCAGGGCCTCTCCTACCTTTCCTTCCTTTGTGGGTTACAGTCAACTGCCGATTTTTCGGACACCCGAATTTTTGGACATGCTCGATGATTTGGACATCTTCGCGGCACCGCCACGAGCCCCATAGAATCAATGTATAAGGAAGTCTGAAATTTCGGACGCTCGAACCTCCCGGAGTCCAATTTTCCGGACTTTTTTGACGCCACGGAAGGTCGGAAACCATCACCGACCTCCAGTGGAAACCACTACAACTGCGTCATACGCGATTACGATTGCATAAATGAGCGCGCCGGTCTACTGTGGCAGCATCTGTTGCTTGGACTCTATCATTAGCGGAGAAACACACACGGTCTTCGAGATTCCTAACACTGGCCATGTTTATCGTGCAAGGGTGCTTCGCTGACAATCGAAACTATCCACCCGGAAATTTTTCGGCAACAATAAAGTTCCTTTCGCTTTAGCACTTGTGCCCGTGTGTGCCATTCTGGCTTCCCGCGCAGCGCTTTCGCGAAGCGTTTCACCGCTTTGAACTAGAACCAACCGTCGTACCGATTTGGCCTGGCCACGCTGGCTATCTTGAATGTTTACCAGTGCCACCTCCGAAGTACCCGAGGCACCGTCACCTGCCGTCGTGCCGTTTTGTTTACGCAGCCCACATGGTGTTTGGCTAGCCTAGTGCGTGGTTGTGCGATCGTGTGAACTGTGCTCTGCAACGCTAAGCCTAGGTGCTTCGACGCTCGTCAGCAAACTCCTTTGTTCACATCGTGAGAATTTCGCTTGCCTGCGATGGCCCCCACTCCGCCTTCGTCGTCCTCGCCAATG